ACTCTTTTTGATATAGTGGAATCCTATTGTGCTGTAAGAAATGACAAAAGGAATGATTTCAGAGAAACCTTGGAAAATTTGAATGAACTGATATGGAGTGAAGTGAGCAGAACTTAATGTTTATTGATTGATCAACTGTATGTAAATTAACAGATGTACATAGGCAGTAGGTATACATTACACACATAAACCTGATACAATTTGTGGGGACTGGAAATTTTTTTTAATTGGAGAAAGAATTTAGTAGCCCCTTGGGCCATAGGTCTAGACCAAGAGGAGGAAGAGGTGCTTGATGCGCCTGTGTGAGAAGTAAGTAAGTTTTCCTGCAATGAGGTAGCCATATGGTCAGCCTTTTCATTCAGAGCTTAACTAAAATTCTCCCAGTTTAGCCTGTCGCCTGGAGCCAACTGTTCATCTGCAGCTGCTGGATGGCTGGTATGTTTTCTTTGTGCCTCTCGTGATAGTCTCTTTCAAAGCCAAGACCTCCAATTACGATATCCAAATAGCCAACCTGGACAGAGTTTCTCACTATCAGTGAATCCTCTACCTGAAAATGAAAGGAGCTTATGGTAGCCTTTGTGCTTCTGGTATAAAACTGCCTCTAAACCCTTCTGGCTGATGTCTGTGAGGTGCACAAAGATGTTGCTTTGACTTGTAAAGGCTGACACTGGTATGTGAGGAGACTAACCAGATCCTTAAGCTGTTCTTGCTTTCCTCTCAATGAAATGGCCAAAGGGAAGAGTTGTGTGTGTATTTTCTTTTCGGTTGCTGCTAAGAAGATGGAGATGGCATAACTCATTGTTTGTTGTCCTTTGTTCATGAAGAGGACCAAACAGTGTCTCTGACTGTGGCTGATCAGACCAATACAAGCTCAGGAGGCTCTACCACAGGTCTGGCACAAATAGTCCATTTGAACATTTGGGGTGGAGATATCTCTAAATGCGTACATCTCATGTTTCTTTTGAGCTACTGCAATTCTGCTTCACTCATAGAACACAGCACCTTCTTTGATGTGGGCACACCATGCTGGGTGGTCCTGTGCAAGTGTCTCTCATGTCAAAAAGTCAAATCCGAACTTCTTCCGTGAGATCTTGAGAGTATCCTCGTGTCGCTTCTTCTGACCATCATGTGAACTCTTTCCTTGTCCGAGTTCTCTGTAAAATACCCTTGCATTCAAACAATATGGACAGCCCACCTGAGTTGTGCTCTTTGCAGTAGAGTTTGAATGCTCGGCAGTTTAAGCTTGAGAAGACTTCTTGTCCAATACCTTATCACACCAGGTGATCTTCAAAATCTTCCTACGACAATTCAAAAGGAAGCAATTCAGTTTCCTGGCATGGTGCTGGTATACTGTCCAGGTTTCACAGGCATGCAACAGCGAAGTCAGCACCATGAGTGAAACAAGGCTCCCAAATGCAGGCTGAAGTTGGAATTGGATACACATTTTTCTGGAATGGCCATAGTGCATGGGAGCACTGTGAAATCAAAACTAATCCAGTCAACAAACTTGTATGCCTATCAAAAGGAGTGAATGACAGGCTCATTCATGACAATGCGATTGCCACTTTCAGGAAAGTGCCATTCCACTATCTTCAGTGTGTATGCTCCCACCTATAATGAGCTCTGATGAAGCCAAAGAAAAACTTCATAAAGACCTGGAGACCTTGTTTATTAATGTGCCAAAAGAGGACAAGCTTATAATTTTGGATGATGTTAATGCTAGAGGGAGTTAATCCTTGGGAGGAATGGAGTCAGAAACAGCAATAGCAATGGTCACTACTGAAGACTTGTGCATCTCATGACCTTCTCACCACCAGCACTGTCTTCCATTTACCTAAATGCAATAAAACTTTAAGGATGTCCCCTCATAGCAAACATTGGCATTTAATAGACCATGTCATTGTAAGGAGAAGAGACAGACAAGATGTGAGATGACGAAGACAATATGTAAGTACAGAGTGCTGGACTGCTCATAGACTTATTCTCTTCAGGCATAACTATGATAAACTGGTTGAGGGACAAGTATTGTAACCCAATCCAGAACCTGAGTGGAAATGGTGCCACATGAAAAGAGACAAAATTGATGCATGGACAGTAGGAGAGGCTAATCTAGGCACAGACTCAGTTCTTTACTGAAATCTTCAGCCTTGGGGCAATCCAGGAGTACCCTCTGGCTACACAGATTGAATCTGTGAGTCACCAAGGAGTCATGAATTTGGAAGAGTCTCAAATTACTCTGGGGAAAAAGTAGAAGATGTTGTGATGGTATGGGGATGTGACTGATATTTTCTTTGAATATTAATTTATATCCTAATTAAATGTTTATTTTTTCATTGTTTGGCTCTGTCAATGTAGTAACCAATGGAATACATGTCTTGATAAGTAGAAGTTCCTAGGTTTCAAACTGGGTAAGGGCAAGTGAGCCAAGATGCCAAGATCTGATCTAGCATGGAAGACATCTAGCTAATTATACATGATTATATAGAAAAGGGTCATGTACTTACAAGGACCATATCTCCCCTCCCCTCCCCTAGGAGGAATTTTCCACTCAGCTTGACCATTTTTCTGATTATGAGTAATCTTAATTGATGAGTGAGTGAATGTAAATTCATCTAAACCTCGATCTAGCAAGATCTAGACCATACTTTAGCTACCATCCAGCCATTTATCCTGGGTGCTATATCATCTGTACTGCCATTGCAAAACTCAACTGGTCAGTCAGTCAATGCACATTTATTCAGGGCTTACTATGTGCCAAGCACTGTGCTAAGCACCGGGGATACAAAAAAGACTCAAAAGACAGTTCCAGCCCCAAAGGAGCTTACAATTTAATGGAACAGACAACAAGTAAATAAATATGTATAAACAAGCGATATACAGGATAAACAGGACGTGATTAAAATAGGGAAGGCACTAGGATGAAGAGGGAGTGGGAAAAGGCTTCCTTTAGTAGATGGGATTTTAGTTGGGACTTAAAGGAAGCCAGGGAAGCCAGGAGGTAAAGATGAAGGAGGAAAGCATTTCAGGCATGGGGCACAGCCAAAGAAAATGTTCAGAGCCACAGATAAAGTGTCTTATTCATGGAACAGCAAGGAAGGAAACATCACCAGATCAAAGAGTGTACATGTCAAAGAGTGGGTATAAGAAGACTAGCACAGTGTGCCCAGAATTCTGACACTTTTCTTCTTGCTCTCTAGGAAGTCATCAAATCAGTACTACTGCTGTTTTCAGAAAAAGTGGGACACTGATCTCTTAGAGCTCTTCTCGCCATTCTTGTGACTCTCTAGACCAAAATTCTCTTTCCTGGTGACCAGCTTCATATATTTGCTTTCTGTCCATTAGAATATAAGCTCCTTGAGAAGGAGGACCATCTCACTCATCTATTTGTATCCTCAGTGCCTATCACATATATTGAGGATCTGAAGCACGCATTGAGAGTCTGGGATGATGTCTCTGTGTGTGGAGAACCTGGGGTGCCTGCTACCAGGAGAATCATGACGAAGGAGGAGGGAGGAGAAATTGTGGAGTGTGTCTAGACATTCTGTAAAGGAATTTTTATTAATACATGGTAAACATGTATCGAAGGGGAGGCTGTTGGCTGAGGAGGCATTCAAAAACTACAGCCTATTTATGCCTCATTCTGTCTCGGGATTTCTTTGGTGAGTCCTTGGTTCATGGCATCTGATGCCAACCTTGGGAATTTCACAAGGTCCAGAGAGCAGCCCAGGGGCATCTGGGAGTCAGAATCCAGACAGGTTTCTTGACTCACAGAACATCAGTGTCATAAGGAGCAAGGGATAGTGGGAGTGACAATCAAGACTCCAGCTCTGCGTGGCTGAGATGCTCTTTCAGCTTTGAGGAGCCAAGTCTTGAAACTGCTCCCCCAAAGATGCAGGTGGTGTAGGGGAGAGTATGCACTGGAGGTATTGGGGAAAATGTTTGTACGTTTAATCTTACTGCATCTTTGAAATAAAAAAAAATTTTTTTACCAGATATTAAGTGGTTGAATGGATGCTAAATGGTTAATTTTTTTTCATTCATTCATTTATTGTCGGAGTGTCCACACCTTTTAACCAAGGGACATGACACAAAGAGGGAGAGACTCTTATGAGTAGCACTGCTGTGATTATGTTCCAAGGTTTAGACACTCCTGCCCCCTTGGCATCCACATGATCTTTAAGATTTAGCACATCCAGATAAACCAAGTCCAGGCACGGAACAGTTACTTCAGGGAAAGGAATTCTAATCTTGGCTTTGCCACTACCACCACATGCCCCCCTCTCAATTTTCCCATATAGAAAAAGAACTTAACTAGTTACTCATCTCACAGTGCTGTGCCAAAGGAAGAGGAAGAAACAGTAGTAGTTCACATTTTTTGGAGTACTTTACAATTTAAAAAGCAGTTTTCTCACAACAACCCAAAGGTTTCAACCCAAGGAGTGCAAGCTTTATTGTCCTTATTTTTCAGTGGGGCAAACTGAAGCTCAGAGAGGTGAAGGGACTTGAAGGTCACAGAGATATGTGACTGAGCTGGAACTCAGATCCAGATCTTTTAATAGTCCAGGGGTTATTGTTTTTCACTTATTTGTTTTGCTAGTTCAATTCAATCCACAAGTAGCAAGATATTCAATAGCAGTGGATAGAGCACTGCATAGAGCCAACTTCAAAGATGGCCTTAGACACTTATTAGTTGTGTAACCCTGGGTAAGTCATTTAACCACTGTCTGCCTCAGTTTCCTCATTTGTAAAATTGGGATCGTAATAGCACCTTACCTCCGCATCTTGTTGTGGGTATAACATGAGTTAATATTTGCAAAGCTCTCTGCTATGTAAATGATAGCTATGATGATAATGATGAAAAGCCCCATAGAAGTAAAAATAAAATGAAAAACGATGCCTGTCCTCAAGAAGCTTGTGTGGTACCCGACTGGCATCAAACTGCACCCAAAGATCCAAGCACATCCCCTTCAAGTAGCACAGAGAACACAGAACTGACTCACGTTAAGTCTTGTCCTCCCTGGTCCAGTGGAAGGAATCAGAATTTTTGAAGTCAGGCAGACCAGAAGAGATCTTCTTTGGGTTTAGCTCACTTGCAGAGTCAAGGTCATCAGAGTTGGGCCCTTCACTAAGCAGCTTCCTAGAAGACATGATGGCTGTGGAAACAGGATTATAATATACATTTCTGTAGTGGCTTATGGGATAAAATGTGCTTTCCTTCACAATGAACTTTGGAGGTGTCGTTGTTCAGTCATTTCTGTCATGTGCGACTCTTTGTGACTCCCTTTGGAATTTTCTTGGCAAAGATACTGGAGTGGTTTGCCATTTCCTTCTCCAGTTTTTTTACATATGAGGAAACTGAGGCAAACGGGGTTATGTGACTTGCCCAGGATCACACAGCTGGTATCTGAGGCTGGATTTGATCAATTCTTTCTGACTCCAGGCCTAGCACTCAATGTTCTGGGTCTCTATATTCTCATCTGCTTGCTACAGGCAATCTTAGTGAAGGAAAAAATTTGTTGCCCTCCTCAAGGCTATTTGTAAGCAGGGGCTATCTTCTTTACCCACAGCTCATCTGCTCTGCCTCCCTGTCTGTGATAATAAATTCCTTTGAACTATTTTTTTTTAATTCCAGGGAGGTATGGCTACGGTTCCTGGAAATGATTATTTATAGGGGGGATAATGAAAGTGGGTGACTACCCTTGTAGACAGTATCATGAAGCCTTGGTGGATAGACTGAACCTATGCAGATTGTGCTCATGGCGACTCTTCAAAGGTTTAACAAGATTCAGCTTACCTCTTGTAGGCACATTCCCCCTCTCAGATTTCTGGCTACTCCTAGCACTTTCCAGGAACTCAGCCCTGATTGGACTTGGGAGTCCTGATGCCTGGGCTCTTGCCCCAGACTCAGTGGTCTGGAGTGAATCCCATTTGTCTGCCTCACAGTAGCCTTCCATCTCTAGGGAGAGAAGAACTCCGAGCCACCTCACAATAGCCACTGCCATAGCCAATAGGGCTGTGAGAGCCTGGGATGAGAGAAAAAGCCCAACAGGAGAAGAGGAACTTACTGCGTAGTGACCAAAGCCTTTCACCTTCATCATTTGCCATTCTCCCTCCTTCAGCTTTATGGCAACATGGGCTTTAAAGGTGAAAGGGACCTTTGGTTCAGTTGGTTTTTCGGTTGTGTCTGACTCTTCATGATCCCATTTGGAGTTTTCTTGGTGGAGACATGGGAGGGGTTTGCCATTTCCTTCTCCAGTTTATTTTACTGATGAGGAAACTGAGGCAAGCAAATACAACAAAGTGACTTGCCCCGGGGTCACATAGCTAGTGAATGTCTGAGGCCAGATTTGAACTCAGGAAGATGAGTATTCTTAACTTCTTAACTCCAGGCCCAGCACTCTATCCACTGTGCCACCTGGCTGCCCAAAATGACCTTAGAGATCAACTAACTAGAACCCCAAATCTTGTACAAACCCCTATGCTTGTGAATCATCTGCAGATACAAAGATAGATACTATACAGCCCTGCTGCCGAGATGCTAAAGGCAGTGGCACAGAAATAACTGTGATGTAAAAGAGAGGAAATGCACAGAAGGCATCCAATTTAATGCAACAAGAGTTTTGAAAAGCTTAAGGAGAAATTTAAGGAATGATCGCTTTTGCCTGAGAGGCCAAGTAAGGCTTCAAGCACTCAAGCTGGGCCTTGAAGGAAAAGCATGCCAATAGGCAGAGATGGAGACAGGAGTACATTTGAGGTTATCAAGGACAGTGTGAGCAAAGGCACACAGATGGGAGAGGGCAGACTAGAATAGGGGCACTCCCTATCCTGTCCAGGATCAAAGAAAAATCCTCTGCTTGGCATTCAAAGCCCTTCCTAACCTATTCATCTTACCCTCCCCAACACATATTCTTTGATCTAGTGAAACTGGTCTCTTGGCTGTTCCCAAAACAACGCTCTCCATCACTGGACGCTGGGCATTTTCTCTAGCTGTCCATTCCATACCTGGAGTGCTTTCCCTTCTCATCTCTGCCTCCTGGCTTCCCTTAAAATCCACCTAAAATCGCAACTTCTACAGGAAGTCTTTTCCAACCCCTCCCAATGTTTAGTACCTTCCTTCTTTTAATTCCCTATTTGTTCCATCTAGAGCTTGTTGGTATGTAGCTGTTCACTTGTCTCTCTCTTTAGATTGTGAGCTCCTTGAGGCCAGGGACTGTCTTTAATAAATGCTTATTGACTGACTGACTGGGAATAGTCTAGTTTAATTAAAATTGAGCATGCACAAAGGGGAAATATTATGAATGAAGGCTGGAAGGATAGGGCAGAGCCAGGTATAGAGGGCCTTCAATGTCTGGGTCAGGGTTGTTAGGAATGCACTTTGTAAGTGATAAACCACCATAAAAAGTAATATATTGTCTTTATTAAGATCTATGCTCCCTCTACCCCATGTTTAACAAACTGTAGGTGTTGATTCCCTGAGTAGACCTGAGAGTTGGGGTCCCAACGCTTCAGGAAGCAAGGCCTCTTCTCTTTCTTGGTGCTTTAATGCTTATAACTCGACATGAGACTCACCAGTCGTCAAGCATGGAATCCCATGTCTTCCTCTTTTTCAAAGTCAGGACTCTCATCTGTCTTGTTCTCATGCTCTGTCATTCTCCACTATTCTTCTGCAGCGTCCTCCAACTGAACGTGGAGATGCTGTGGACCAGCAAAGACAGGGGATAAAATAATTTTATCACCTCTGCCTCTCATCAATGAGGGTCCGAGTGGCATTGATGTGATTGGAGCTGTTGCTAAAATTACTTCAGATTTCCTATCACTATAGTACTATGAAGCAATAGGTACAGTGGTGTGCTGGCAAATATTTAACAACCAGGTTAAGCAGAAGAACATTGTACCCAGTAACAGCAACATTGTGTGATGACCAGTTTTGATAGACTTAGCTCTTCTCAGCAATACAATGATCTAAGACAATTCCAAAAGACTCACAATGGAAAATGCTATCCACATCCAGAGAAAGAACTATGGAATTTGAATGCAGATAGAGGCTACTCTTTTCTCTTTTTTTTTTCTCATGGTTTTTCCATTTTGTTCTGATTCTTCTTTCACAACATGACTAATGTGAAAATATGTTTAATATGATTACAAATGTATATCCTATATCAGATTGGGGAGGGGGGAAATTTAGAACTCAAAATCTTATAGAAGTGAATGTTGAAAACTAAAAAGAAATAAATTTAATTAAAAAATAACAACCGGGTTAAGTTTAATTTGCATTATTAACATTTTCTCTATCACTGTCTTAAATGTAATAGTCAATGAAATAATCAACTGAGCTCTGATTTGTAGCTTTGCCAGTTTCTGAGGTAAATGTTCACACTAAAAATGTAACAGATGGCTCACAAGCTGGTTTGAGTTGGCTCCAGTCAGTCAGTTAATAAACATTTATTAAGTGTCTGCTATATGCCAGGCATCCTGCCAAGCACTGGCTCCAATACACCACTATGTAGCGCACATGAGAGTTGAAATCTAGTTCTCCTATGAGCCCTGGAGAAAATGAATGCATGAATGAAGCATTTCTTTTTTGAGTGCTTACTATGTACCAGGCACTGAAGTAACAGTTTTTACCTAGGAAGAGAAAACACAAATATGGAAAGGGTAACCAGAGAAAGAAATTTCCAGTCATGGGAATGGTGGGTTGATCTGTAGCGCAGTCAGTTGACATGCCTTTTCTATAGGAACAAAGATAATGTGGTAGTATTGATTTGATGATTGAGCCCAGAACATAGTGGAAAGCTTAGGGAGTGAGGGTGGGTGAGTAAGGGGACAAGGTGGGGAAGAATAAGGGGAAAGAGGGAAAGGCAGAGAAAGAGCAGAGTAGATAGCAAGATTGATGAAATGAACAGCTGGATGGTTTGGTGGAAAAAGCACTGGATTGGAACCCAGAAAGTCTGGGTTTGACTCCTGAACCCAGCATTTATTAGTTATGTGACCTTGGACAAGTTACTGTCTGAGTTTCAATTTCCTTGACTGTAAAATGGACCACAAGCTAATCAATTTAGAGCAAGAAGAGATTCAGAGGCCATCTATGGAGCACTCCTCATTTTACAGATGAGGAAACTGAGGTCCAGGGAGGTTAGTTAACTGGTCACGTAAGAGGTGAGATTTGAGCCCAGGTTCTCTGACTTGGGGGTTAGTACTTTCTATTATGTCATACTTTACCTGAACGGCTTATCCTCATAGAATTTTTGAGAGTAGTGGATGAAAAAGTGTTGTTTAAGCACTTGGCAAAGCTAAAAATGGCATAAATAGAAATTATATCTCTTTTAGCCTTCGTAACACTTTGCTTTGATTTTTAGTTATGTTTATTTATCCGTGTCTTCTTTTTCCTTCAAACTTTAAAAGAACTGTGATTTCAATCAAAGTGGGCACTTCCCTCCACTAAGTCAAATTAAAACTCCTTTGTGCCTTAGTAGAGAATTCCTCATGTGTTTCTGTAGCCAAAGAACTCTCTTCTCTTAGGTAGATCAGTCTTTGGACAGCAGACACTCAGGACACCACTGGGCCCTTAACTCAAAGTCTTTGTGGTTAGTAAAAAAATTGATCAAATTTGTACCCACCTGTCATGGCCTTTGAGAACCCAAGGCATGATAAGTACATGGTAAGGTGATAGTGTCCAAGCTTCTTCGCTCCTAAAAATAGCTTATGCTTCCATAATGACTGAAGAGCTTTCCCCACCACCACCCTAGGAGGTAGGTAGTGCAAATATAGTTATTCCTATTTTACAGATCAGAAAACTGAGGCTCAAAGTGGTTGTGCAATCCATTCAAATTACATCAGTGGAAAGGTGCTAGGCCTGCACTTAGCACTCCAGTTTCATTAGCAAATTCTTCTCTAAGCAGGGAAGAGACAAATGGGGCTCAGTTAAATCAGTTTGACTTATTAGTTTATCTTTGGTTGAAGAAACTAAAGCTGTTTAAACCACTTCACCAGCTTGGGACTCAGTTTCCTAATCTGTAAAATGAAGAGGTTGAGCCTGGCATAGTGGTACGCGTCGATAATATCTGCTACTAAGGAGGCTGAGGCTGGTGGATTGATTGAGCTTCTGGGCTGTAGAGGGCTAAAACCATTCCCCTGCACCAGTATGTAGAGCCAGGGTTGGGAGACGGGGGGGCCAGGCTGCCTAAGGAGGGACAAAAAAGCTCAAGTCAGAAATGGATCAGTGGTGATCAGTGGTGGGGTTGGGGCCACGAATGGCCACTGCATTCCCAGTCTGGGCAAGATAGGGTCTTAAAAAAACAAACAAATGAATGAATGAAATGAAGAGGATGGTTTAGATCAGTGATGTCAAACAGGAGGCCTATGAGCAGCCTGCAGCCTGCAGCATTCCCAGTGTGGCCTGAATCACATTAAAACAGTTGGAAAAAAGGTAAACAGGAAAGGGAAATCAGAGGTTAAATTCTTACTTGGGAAGATGATACTTGTGACTCGAAAAAAACTTTCTCATTATTAAGGCAGTTAGAAGGAGTATATATAGACAGAGGGCACAGGTTTGAGTTGAATATGAAGGGATGATATCTAAAAAAAATAAAATTAAGTGGTGAGAGATGAATGTACTAGGAGAGAGGGAAAGGGAGAGGTAGAATGGGGGTGCATCGGGGTGGGGAAACTGTGGCCTCGAGGCTACACGTGGCCTTCCAGGTCCTTGAGTGAGGCATTTTGATTGAGTCCAAGTTTTACAGAACAAATCCTTTTATTAAGGGGAGTGAAGTTTGGATCCAGTCAAAGGGCCACCCTTGAGGACCTAGAGGGCCATATGTGGCCTCGAGGCCTCAGGTTCCCTACCTCTGGGGTAAATTATCTCACATAAAGAAGCAAGAAAAAGCTTTTACAGTGGAGGGGAAGGGGGAGAGGTGAGGGGGAGTGAATCTTAC